GTGGCGTGGCGTGCTTTGCGATACATCGATTGATCTGCCATTTAATCCTATGTAAAAGGATCGATATGTAGGGTGTTCGCAGCGGACACCTTAATAATCGATTCTTTACCATAGCTTCAAACGAGGAAATATCGATAATCGATCATTCTCGCCGCGCCACTGCCGCAATTGCTTTCTTCGGGTTTGAGGCGGTCCCGCACGCTCAGCTTTTGCCGCGCCTTTGCTCAAGTCATCCAGTCGGCCAGTGCTTCAGAAGTATAGTGTCCGTGAAAATCTCCCTCCCATTTCGTGGCGCGTTTCCCGCGAAAGAAAGGTTACGTTACTCGGAAGTTACTCAGATTCAAATGAGGTGTGTGTGCTCTATGCTGCCATGCTAAGGAAAAACACCGTATGAGCTTTCAGACGTTGCCAAGTTTCCTCCGATAAAAACCGAAATTACGGGGAAAATTGAGAATATTATTTTCTCAAATTTTCAGATAATTTTGTACGCAGTTTAATCTAAAATATCTGAAAATTTCCAGGAAAAATGTGCATGAATGTTCTCAAAAATACATGTTTTATCAAGAAAAATTTGGCAACTCTCGAAGGTTCATACGGCGTTCTTCCTTAGCATGGCAGTATGGGACCTACGAGTTCTATGAAGGGATCTGTCCAAAAATGTCGTGTAGCGTTCCTTTATCTCAAGTAACGGATGAGTTTGGACTTGGGGGAAAAACCTGTCGAAATGTACGAATTAATTTCTGCATAGTAGGATTTCTCACGTAAAATGTGTGTAAAATTAACGGGAAGGATAGGGGTTTGAAAGATAAAGCGCATCAAAATTATTTTAAGTTTTCCACTGAGTTAGCATAGATATAAACCGCAGAAAAAAGATGCTGTATACAAAACCAAACATGTGCGTATACTTTTTCTGTAAAGTTTGATACCTGTGTGGAAGTAACATACAAGGGTTGAGCTGAATACATTTTTGAAAAAACTCGGAAAAAGGCGAGGTAGCTCAAAAAATACCTGCGCATGAAAATTCTGTGAATAAAAGGGGGAGTCCTTTTAGCGCTTCCCAATTCGTTTATTTTAGCAGTTTTTTTTTCACGTGTTCAGACTTCACCCAAAAAAAAATTATTTTTTTTTTTTTCACCCAAAGAATTTTTTTGGGGGGGGGTGATTTGTTTAAGTATTAGTGCTAGTATACTAGTAGAGATGTGATGCACTTACTTTGTCATCATGCAAGTATTTATTTAGTTATCAGTAATATATTTCGCGTGTCAAATAAGTTCGATTCCCTGTTCCCGCCTTCGAGTTTGCATGGTTTTGGCACAACCACAAATCGCTTTGTCTTAAACCTACTGGAAGTTTATGCATATTTTTCAGAGATTTTTGAAACATGTTGAAAGGTGCGTTTTTTCTTATCCTTCTGTAATATTTTGAGAACCCGATATAAACACGTACATATAGTTTTCAGCATCATTCAAATGAAAGATCTAATTCATTTCTCCGCACCCACACACCGAACTCTCCTTTCTCTCAAAATTTATTTTTAAGATTCCTCTTAAGTCACCTCATCAATACTTATTTATCTATATTCTTGTTGAACATGAAAAGATTACCCTAAGGAAGTAATGCTCGTTGCTCGCTTATTAACTTTTTTTTTTCTTCTTCTTTTTCTGATGATTTATTGGCTTCGTGTCTTATTAATGCTTGGCAGCATGGAAAACTGATCAAAACTTACTTATTTCATCAAAAGAGCAAGATGCACTAACCGAAAACGCTGAGTAGAAGTAATCAGAGCTCTGGGGGCGTAATTGCGTTGTCTCGCCGCAAAATCAGCATCCACAGTTGTTTATTTTTTCGCTGAGGAGCGGTTGCTAATATTTTGCTTGAACTTTTGGTGTTTCTATATCGTCTGGCAAAAATTCCCTATAAATTCATGTGCGAAACGTGCACTCGACAACGAAGGAAGCAATAAGTTGCCCGTCGTAACTTAGCAGCATTTTGATATAATCGCTCACCGCACCGCCCATCCTATGACTCGTTAGCAATTTTTCCAAGTCGCATCGTCATGAATCGCCTTCAAAACGATGCTATGCAACCGCGCATTGCGCCTGTGTTCGAATAGTTATCGCTCGGGATCAAGTTACTCGAGGGAACGCCCAGTCGCGAATTTTCGAAATGATGCGTGACTCCATTTTAAAGCTTTGTAAGAAAATCAGGCACGTTTACTTATGTAATTAATTTTCTTCGATGGATCCATAGAGAATGAAATATTCACAGTAAAATATCCAAACTAGATCTTACGTAGGGATATATTTTACGGACAGAGAAATATCGTGCGGACCTAGTAGGTACCAAAATCACGTTTAACCATGTTGTCCAGGACCTGGAAGAACTGGGTTTTGCCAGAATTCTTGAGGGAACGAGAAACAGCCGATTAAAGCAAGGCATTGGTGTTTAAAACCGGGAAGGTGTGCTTTTTTTTCGCTTAGAGCTCTTACTCTTCTTTTTTGTTGTCCACATTGATCCGGCAATATTATTATTTTTTTTCAGTCTTAACCTCAGAAAAAAATCTGGTTCATCCCAAGGAAACCTACAGAATGATTTTATAAGGTCGTTCAAACTGGAGTAACGAGTTGCACGACATTTTACAAAGGTTAAATAGACCTTTGACCAATCTAATCTAATGGCTGCCAAAAACTTTGAATCGCATTTAGAACATTTCCGGAAACAAAATTAAAGAACTTAAAAACTCAAGAATTTGACACCCATCCCTTTACCCAAGTGAACAAGCCAAATGCTCTCAACTATGCAGTTTCGAATTTTAAGATAGTTTTATGATCCGAAGCCCTGTCAATCCTGCCCTTTCTTTCGTTTTCTTTAAAATGATGTCTTAGTTTTATGATCCGAAGCCCTGTCAATCCTGCCCTTTCTTTCGTTTCCTTTAAAATGATGTTTTTCCAAACACACCTCGCGCCTCACTGTAATAACTGTACCGAGACTCCAAATTCTTACTATTATAAAGGTACTGCTAGAAACTTATTCTTCAAAGCACTATATAACGCTGGAGACTCCTCTCTTCTTCTCGGGGTCCAACGATACCGACACGTTGATCAGTACAACCTATTTTCCTCTCCCAACGATGTAAGTCACATTATCGGTCACGTATGAAGAAAAGCTACGCGGAAAGTAATATCGACTGGGGTTGGCTATCCGGTGACGCTATCACGTTGAGCCGAAAAAGCCTATGATCAACTTGCCGGGCTGCATTTTTAACAAGCCCCGATCGATAGAGAGCTATAGACTGATAATTATTCTGTCACCGTGTCATCGCGGAGATTCTTGGATAAGGCCTTTTCCAAACATGGCCTGGCTTAATTAGTTATCGCAGGGGTGCTCGAGAAAACTTATCGGGGGGAATTTACCCCCATCATTTAAAGAACCCCGCGCTAACTATAGTGAATCAGGCAGCCATTCTGGAAACAAGGAAAAATTTGGGAGAAATCCTGGATCAGTCCGAATGACAAACGAGGCTCGAGAAAAATCGCCCCATCTGAAATCTTTCATACCGTGGACTTAGGTTCCTTTTCCATGAGCGGTCACAATTCATCGTTTCTTCCCTGAAACAACATTTCTCCATTCCAAGGTTGCAAAACTGATTCAAATAATTCAATTTCTTACGGGAACGCCACTGTGTGGTGTTTGTCCAAAACGTGCAGGGTTGATTGTTGCGTGTCAACTAAAGAAATGTCCCACCGCTGCGCCGCGAATGGAGCGGCGAGTGTCTGGAGAGTTAAAACGCCTTCAATCTCGTGGGTATGCAACGCGGACATCCACGGAGCTCGAATAGTTGCATCCAAGCGTTACGTTCGTCGCATACGACAATAACTGAAGGCGCTATGCTTGTTTCTCTTACCTCTGAACTTAATTCCAGCGTCGGCCACTGTGCCGATGTGATATATTACTGATTTTTATCTTCACGTGGTCAACTTGCCGGAAAATGCCTCGATTGTTGAATTGTAACGTTGCCTCCCCCCCCCCCCCCCNAAATGTAGACTGCGGCCCCCACCCTATACCGAGAATTAGTTCGACGTTCCAAACAACAAATATACCGTGTCCGGCTGAGGAAGTAGAGATTTCAATTTTTTAACCATTCCACCCAACTTCAAATGTCAGGGAATTTTGACCATTTTTCAGGGAAATCACGGGAATATATTCTATTTTTTAAACTCAGTGGCAACCATGGTACCCGTCGCCTCCGCAAAGACTGTCTCAATTATCGAGTAACTCGAAAAGTTATCGTTTCCCAGGCATTATCGCAACTCCGCGTTCGTTTACCGCGTGTCCCCCAGAAAATTGCGATTGGAGAGACAATAGTAAGAATCGAAGGTAATTTATTCCGGCGCGCGTTGCATGGCCCGGACTCGACCAAGTATTAACGCGACTCACTGGACTCACCCGCACTACTGGGCTAAAGAAAAACGCCATATGAGCATTTAGACGTCGCCGAATTTCATCCAATAAATTACAGTTTTTTGAGAATAGGTATTTAAGAGTACCTATCCCATTTGGAACTTCTCAGATAATTTTTTTTAATTTTTTCCCCGTTATTATTATAATTTATTTATTGAAAATAAATGCGGAATAACGAATTTCGAAAAGTGCCCAACTATCCGGTGAATAATGTTCACATTGCACTGTTCAAGGACCGAAAAGTTTCATAATTTTGGCCGCGGGGCTCCGTTTGAAAATCGAATGACTTGCGCCGTAATCACATTCCATCACCGAATTTAGTTCCGCTAAACGTCTCTTCTGGTTTATTTATGTACTCATCTTTTGAGTGTACCACTTCTGGGAACAAGCCACTCAATTTTTCTCCGAAACATATTTATTTTACCGGGGAAACTTAGCAACGTCACAATATCCATGCGCCGTTTTTCCCGTGCACGACAGCGGGAGGACTCCGTAACCGTAATAATAATTACCACTCGTCAGCACTCAGCACTCACCTCGCGAGCTCCAGTCAACAACGCGCGGCCCCGCGAAAAGATCGTCAAATTGAAGTGAGTTTACTTCGTCGCCTTACCTTTCATCATACGCGCTAATCTTATCTCGCCAGTTTGATTTGTGACTTTTTGTAAGTTCCGCCAGACCCAGCCCCTGCGCTCAACTCCAGTCTTCGTCCCGTCGAATACCCCGAGTGTTGTAAATTTTCTTGCAATTTTTCTAAAAAAATTGCCTCGTGATTTCCCAATAATCCGGGTAACCACAAAATCGGAAACCGTGTGTCGTAAAAATTGTGAGGTGTTGTCGGTGCAAGTGCGAAAAGAAAGGATTCGTAAGGCGTGAAAAAACTATCGGAGCCCTTTTAGTTCTCATCGCGAGGGAGCCAAGTCGACCACGTTGAAAAACGAGAGTTAGGATGTGAGTTCGGTTCTACCCGGACGGAAAGTGAAAATCATAACTTAGTGGATTTAAAGGATTACAATGTCGAAGGAAAACGAACATCCAATGGAAAACCTCCGTACGTATCGTTGTTTCATTGCTAAGCACTACCCAAGCATTTATAAATGACGCAATCGCGATTCTTCGGAGTAGATGCCTATACTGGAAAAAAAAGTCGCTTGGATCTAGAGTCCAGACTCTTAAAGACATCGACAAGAAAAAATACTCTTGATTCAATCGGATTTTTGCTTAAATCGAGAACCAAGTCTCTTAGTTCAAGCGGATTTCCTTTTGATTCAAGCAAAAAGAAGATTGAATCAAGAGTATTTTTTCTTGTCATTGTTTTCAAGAGTCTGGAATCTAGATCCGAGCTACTTTTTTTCCAGTGACTTGTTTCTCACAGGATACAGATTTAGAATGTTTAAGAACGTTGCATTTTACGCTGACATGCCCTTTTTTGGAATTTTGCTGTGTTGGTCTTGCATCTCATCCCGCAGAAACTGGGTGTCGAATAGGAAAAGGCAGGGGAATAGTATCGCTCGAAGTATCATATGTCTTGGAAGTATCATAGAATTGCTGACAATTTTTTCGAGAAGGACTGGGAATTTGCCTCTTTCTTACTCAATATTTTTCTTCTTTTCTGACCGTCATCGGGGGAAGCGTCCTCAGTCCCTTTAAACTCAAAAGTGAGCAGTTGATGTCAGAGCGTAGAGGAGTGCTCTGCAAACTTAATGGGACTTTTAATAACACCCCAAATGTAAATCCAAATCGAAGTTATGTTGCGTTCAAGTTCGCAATTCCAAAAGCGCGGTCTCGAGAAAAAGCTATCTAAAATTCTAATCTGCGTTTTCAAGGCACCAAATTGCTGGATCATAATGCTTCCTTATATCTGCTCTTGGCACAGAAAGGAATTAAACTGGTCACCTCCTGTTTTTTTGACACCAGAGAGAATTTAGCGTTAAAGTCTCGAAATCTAAATTTTTCGCCCCAACTCGAAAAAAAAATCATCCCACTTATAATTGTGTTTCCTTGGGCTGAAGTTTTTTCCCCTGCAAAAGGTCACATTCCACGAATTTTTACAAAAATCGAAATGAAGATTTCGACTTGGGTAACTTAGAGAATTTAAAGCCACTTTAAAATTAATAACAGAAAATGTGTATTTTATAACGTTTTGAAATATGGTTGACCGAAGAAGTTCGGCAATTCTCCTCCTCTGAAAATCGTAACACCCTGGTTTATGTCTTCTTTTGCGACGAAAAGTTACATCATGTTTGAGCCGGGAATAATTTAAACAATTTCGACACCGATACCGAGCTATCTATACTATAAGCTCCGAGACCTCCTAATTTTGCGTAACTGGTAACGCTTAGTCCCAGCCTTCTACCGGGCCGATTTTCATGATTTTTGCGGCAATCGACGGGCAATTGTCTCTAGATTAGCCAACTCTTTTCAGATTTTCAAAATATGAACCAGGTTTTTTTATATTACGTGGTAAAGTTGCGAATTCTCCCATAAGAACAATGTAAATTTATACTTTTTGTCATAGTTCGTTTGAGCGTTCTACCGGGCCGATTTCCATGATTTTTGCGTAGATTGTCAGGTAATTGGCCCTAGATGTGCCCGCTCTCATTAGATTTTGGAAATAGGACCCAGGTTTTTTTCAAAATCACGTTATAAAAGTGAGTAACTTTACAGAATGCTCCGGGACTGCTGCCGCTATGCGCGGGAGGATGCGCAGTGGTCGAGGAGGTTGCGCAGTAGCTGGGTAGCCTGCGCATCAGCTCTACACTTATCTACACAAGATACGCGACGACAATCTCATGTTGAGCGGTGGCCGAGTCGTCTAACAATAAGACGTCGAAAGCCTCCGCTTGGAAGTCCGTGTGAGTTCGATTCCCGACTCATGAGGCGCTCACTTATTACCGACTATTATTGTTCATTGTTTTACTGCAATATTTCATCAAACAGTCATTCCAAAACGCGTCCTTTTAATTTTAAAGTAATTTTAAGTAAAGTTTGAAATTAAAGTATACCTCATATCGTAATTTTTTAGGGGAAAAATAAAACTAACTCTGAGAGGAGGGTACAAATAGGGCCGCGAAGCGGCCCATTGATGGCGCGGAGCGCCTTCAGGGGGTTGGGCCGCGTAGCGGCCAGGGGGCGTAGCCCCCTAGTAGTAGCTATAACTATTCGAACACGGCTGCCACGCGGGATTGCATACCATTGCTCTGAAGGCTATTTTTGCGCACGAAGAGAAACAAATAGCTTTTGAAAGGCCGCTCCTGCCGAGAACAAATGTGTAAGAGGTAAATGCAAATTAAGGATTTGTACCGCCTGACGTTAGTATAGACACACATAAAAATAAGCGAGGTTATTTTACTCTGTCACTTTTTTAGTATTCTCGGTAGGAAAGAATACGAAGCATTTTCCGTGGTCTTACATTTTTTTGTTCTATTTACCATTTCCGAAATTTTAGCGATCGAAATCTGGTGACGCAAGATGTGACAATCGCGCGCAAAATGGCCACGAATGTTACTCGCGATCACAATCTGTTTTTTCTCAACAGGTCACTTTACACTTTGAGATCGCAGTCTACCACGCTCTATAATTATTCCAGAATTTTCGGTTTGAAGTTCTCGCGAGCTTTAGATTGTGATAAGATTAAGTGTTGTAGTGTTTGTAATCATAAAACAGAGGTAGAAAGGGGCGAGTCTTGTCCTGCTGCTGTCAGTTGTGTTTATTTGAATGGGAATTTTTTTTCTGGCGGACGTTTTTTCTGAAATTTCATCCTAAATATTATTTCAGTCGTAATAACTGTTCCTACTTTCAGCCACACCTGTAGCCCGCCGTCTCGTCGTGTACATCGTGTTTTTTTTTTTTTTTTTGAGTTTTGTGGCTTCTATTCCTTTGTATTGTTTAGATAGGAATCTACAGCTACATCGTGTTTAGAAATCCATAGTGTACGTTTAACTATTAGAAACAGGGTTGCCACAATCAGGGAATATCGGGAAATGTCAGGGAGTTTTAAAATGTCAGGGAAAAATGACACAAGTGTCAGGGGAAAATCGTTAATTCACCTTTATTCGCTATCTAGAATAGGTTTGACACTTCGAACAACACATTTTGCCTAAAAACTATTTCAAACTATGCATTTTAATCATCTGGCATTTATTTACTTGTCAGGGAAATCAGGGGAATGTCAGGGAATTTCACCTTCGAAATTTTGTGGCAGCCGTGTTGAGAGCGCGCCAATTAATAAATTATCATTCGTTGATTTTTTTGTGCATTTTTTTCGGTGTTAGAAGAAATTAGGAGTTAGCTGACCTTATTTAGGACTGAATTACGGTCGTACTCTCTGTTGAAGCGCTTTCAAAAGATCTAGTGTACAAAGGCTCATTATCGTCCTATGAAATCGCTCCATTAGTAAATGGAATCAAGGAAATGCGATGCCAAGTGAACCCCCCCCCCCCTTCTTACCTACATAGTAGGTTGGTCTCAGGGGATGATAATGAAGGTTGCACATCACACGCAATTGAGACTGAAGACGCAAGGAAACACTCCTCTACGTACCGTGTGTTTCTTATTTTTATAAATAAGAAACACGTGGATCTGTGTAAGGAGCTGTAGAAACTGAATTAGAGAACATTTTTAGTGGGTGAAGAACTAAGTCTTGAACAAAACACTCATCTGGATTTCCAACGTTGCAGATTTCATATAATTTTTTTTGTCTATTTTTTTCAGAATAACTTGTCACAATGTTTCATCGTTTATCCAAGTTTTTTATTTAGCAATGCCATGCTCAAGTTTCAGTTTGATTTCTGTCAAAAATACTCAGGCAATTTTTGTTTTGTTTTTAAGTCAGTGATTAAAATACGCAGTCACGGTGTTTCAAATAGACTCGCGCATTCGCAGGAGTAGAACACACCCATTAATTTGCGACTGTTGAGTTTCTATTTTTTTTAGAGACATGTTTACCTTAAATAGGAACTTTTAAAATTTTCCGGAAAATATGAGGCAGGGTTTTTTTCACCTTTTTTGGCATTGGTTTTTTGCGCCTCTCTAAACAATTTCTCCCTGTGAATCATGTGTATCGTAATACTATCCTCATGAAATTACCAGAATTTAATGTAAAATGTTAGCAAATGTACCTAAAACGGAGAGCAAGTCTTAATTTTCTTATAAAGAGCTACTTTTTCCTGAAACCTCTCGAAATTTCTCACGAAAATGTTATAGATATAAAATCCCGTCGCACTGAAAAAAAATTCTCGGCGTTTTTACCAAGGTCCGTTGGTGCCTTTACCATCTCACTTTTTTTACCAATTATTGGTAATTTTACCAAGACAGACTGGAAAACTTACCTAAAAACCAGTATTTTTACTGTATTTTTCAGGTAAGAATACCACTTTTATTGGTAATCAATTCCCGGTAACTTTGCCATTTTATCTCGGTAATTCTACCATAGTCGATAAAAAATATTGGCGTTTTTACCAAGGTCCAGTAAAATTACCGAGAAAGTTCAATCATTTCACCGAGATTTCTCGGTACAATTACCAATTCCATTAATGATAATTTTACCAAGAAAAAACTAGGATCAAATAGAACCCTGAATTCTTGGTAATTTTACTCTTTTCTTAGTACATACACCGATATTTTTTTTTCAGTGTGTATAAACCTCTCCTCGTGATTCTGTAAAAGTCAAGTCGAATTTCTACGGGCTTTTACTTATTTATACCAAGAGAGAAACAATCAGTCGTTCAGAACTTTGATTCAGTTCGTCACCGTGGCCACCCCCACACGTCAGAGGACGAAAAGCGACAATGAGTTGCGTCCCGTTGTGTAATGAGAGCAACTCACAACTTTGAAAGCTGCCGCGCTGCAATTGCAGTCACAGCAGGCGGAACGAGCTTTGCGCGGGTGGCAGATATGGAGGATGCGTCCAAGTTTTTCGATCCAGAAAACAAGCTCGTTCATTTGGCAACGCTAATCTGAGTCGAGTACTTACGGTTGAATCCTCGGTGCGGAGGTTGCCAGCTCTGTGGCGTTCGCTTTGAGAATCGTTGTCCTTTTTTGAAGGGAGGT